CCCCCCCCCCCCCCCCCCCCCAAAAAAAAAAAAGGAAAAAAGCACTGCATTTTAATAACAGTTTTTATGAAAAAATTACTTGGCTAAATCATAATGAACGGGTGCAAACATTCCTTGAATTTCAATTCACGTAAAAAAGCAATTTCAGAGCAAGGGTGATAATTCTATTCCTTTCATTACTCAGCGATTATGCAACCTGACTTTAGAGATCAGTTCATATATTTTCAAAAAAAAAATTGCTGTCAATACAAGCCTGCGTGAAGCTTAACGAGAACGCGTACCTCTGGAAGAGACAAATGAATGGATTGGAAATGCCCCCAATGCAAGAAAAAAAATCACTTGTTATCTTGGGTTAATTTAGGGAAATCAACCCTTCATTATCATATGACACTCAAGCTAATTATATTCGGTTTTATCGTGTCACGGGACAGAATGCGCTCTACAAATACGATTTCTCCAACATCGTTATCACATTAGCATTTGCAAGGTGTCCATTGTACACACATGGCCGGCCAACCAGCTAAATGCAGGGAAACCTTATCTCCCACAAACCATATGTAGAAAATTGGAGCTAATGGTATACAATCGATGACAGTCCTCTGTCTGAACTCGTTGTTATCTAAACGTGGCCGGATGTTTTTGCCTGGGGTCCTTTTTACACCCAGGGTAGAAATGTCCCTGACTTCACGCTCATGCACGCATCCTGACCAGGGTAGCATCGAGCGTTTGCATAGGTTTTATGAAACATAAAACATCAGTTTACACGACCAACAATCTATGTTTGTGTTAATTTTCGATCTGTACGGGACCGGGTCTCCGGATAGAGTTTGCCGAGAGCAACACTAATTATTTCCCCGTCAGTGACAATGGGGCCGCCAGTCACTAGCGCAGGGTCCTCCATTGAAATAAACACGAGTCCTAAGTGAAATTAACACACACCTATTCAACCGGGGCTTTGACAGTTGAATGAGAGCTGCACTCGGTTCCCTGTCGGAGCACTAAAAGATACTGTGCTGGTAAACTTGATATCGTTAGGGGGGAGAGAGAAGTAAGCCTACCTTTATTTTGTTGAAATCCCCGTTCCCAAAATTAACGCCCCAGTGAATGCCCCTCACCCAGCATGGTAAGCCAATAGGGTCCCTGGGCTCTTGAACGCTAAATTTGGTGTGAACTAAGCATGCGAACCCCTGTAATTTTTCTCCAAAGGCTTTTACAGTCTTTTTTTAGCGTTAACAAGAAGAGATGCCGAGGGTTTCCTAGGGGTCTGCTGTGAGTGCACTTGCGCTACTTCTATACTGGAGGTAGAGGGCGTGTCCATTTGCTCTCCAAGCTATGTATAAAGATTAAGAGAATAAATAGAAAAGTGCACACTTTCGTTTGATGCCCTATTAGTCTAGAAGGCGTAATCGTGAATAGCATTACGTCAGTCTGTGTGCGTGGGGCTGTGATTTGTATGCTCTTCATATCGCGTGTTCAATGCTTACGCTCAGGTAAGGGTTATCAGCCGGGAAAGCGTTCCGATAGATTACAAACCAAACACTTTTAAGAGCAAGCACCACCTTTGACCAAAACCGTTTTCCCACGTACTGCTGGGCGTCCGGGTGACACAAGACAACACACATCCCAAGTCCAGGTGTGGAGATCAAAAACTAGAAAGCCGCGGCGTGATCTATCACCTGTGGCCAGTAATAAGTTTTTTTCGTCCTCCCCTTTGTTGTTGGAGATATGTGGTCAGTGGTGAGAAGTCTGCTCGCTGGCTGGGAAATAGGCTGGTGGAACAGTCTTAGTGCAGGACACGCCTACTTCTTAGAGGAAAACTGTGGGGGCGAAGGCATTTTCATTTTTTTCCATAATGAAAGAGGATGTACCCAGAAATAGCAAAAAAGCTTGACTCAATTTTATCTATGAGCAAGTATTTTTTATTTTTCTTTTTTTTTTAAGAAGATTAAAAAGATCGAAATAAAAAAATGCGACGTTACAAAAAATAAAAAAAATCGCTCGTTTCTTCCAGGTCTTATATATGTGTTACCGCCTGCATCAGACTTTCCTTGAAAGTACTTTGTATCAGTCATGTTATAATGGGTAATCTGGCATTCGTGAGACACGATATCGCCAGGCATAACATGTAAGGTGGGAGACGCGCTCTCTCTATTACACGAACCCCAGCGACGCGGGGTCTCACGAACCAGCCATTACAACCAGGGCTCTGCCTCAGGTGGGTGTGGGGACAATAATAATGGCTAGGTTAAGTTTTCATCCATCAAGATCCCTGTAGCGACTCTCTTCAGCAAAGTAAGAGAGTGGGTAGGCTCACGCACTTCGAGACAACCCCTCACCGACGCTGCAGTTTCTCACGTCCTCTCGCCCGGCCTGCAGGACCCCTAGGTGAGAAGAGCTCATCTGCACAAGAAGATGGCGTGACACCTCGTCATTACTCCTTGAACTTTTGTTGTCATTATTGTCTGTTCTTTTGTTCTGCTGGGTGTTTGGGTTTATGTTCTCACTACACGGTTACATACGCAAACATTTCTGTTCAACCAGGCAGGCCGTGGTGCGTTATTTTTGTATACGCCCTATTTCACCTACTTCATACACGACACCTTACTATCCTCCTACTCTAGCAACACTAATTACAGAAAAGCGTGCCATTGCAAGTACTTGTATCTTGAAAACTGGAGGTTAATCTCAATCGACATTATAAACAGGGTTTTATATAAATTATGTTTGCACTCCTGGTTTGACAAAAGAAAATAAAAGAGCGTATCAGTGGCAATTACTTTGTACAGCTTAAAAAAAACCCTCTTTACCAGACAAAAGAGATTGTTTGAAAATAAGAGTTGTGGCGTGATGAAAACTACATTCGTGCTCGTGACCATCCGTGTGTTAGCTTGGAAGCCTAATTGCTTTCTTGGATTAGTTGTTAATCCAAGTATTAGGTCATTAATATCGAATTAAAATGTACCTACCAGCGCCTGAGCTCAGACTACCAACATGTGCAGACGGAGGGCATTATATATAGACTGAGAATTACGACATGTTCGCGACTGTTACATCGCCAAACGCAGGACAAAATGGTGGGCAACGCAGGTCTGAGCGTGCATTCCTGGGTGAGGGAGTCAGGTGATTGTGATGTAGAGAGGATAGGAGAGAGCAAAGGCATTAATTAACATGGGAAAAATGACTGTAATGACACTGGTCATTTCAGGGCCCGATTAACTCTCCTAACAGGTGTGTTGTATACCTGGGAAGTAACAGCTGGACACCAGAGAACGCTACATCAGGGGACGCCAAGGAATCCGCACACTTCACTGTCAGTATCAGCGTGCTATAGCCCATTGGGTATTTCTTGAATGGTGTCATAAATTACCGAAAATGAACGGAAATAATGCTATCTTCGATGAACTAAAAAAAGGTGCAAATAAAGATAAAAATCGCAAATTACAAACCTTGCCGAGTAGCTTTCCTCTGAGATATGTCGTCTGTGTCCCAGGGTCGTATATGTAGTGTGTAGGCTCCATATTGTTGTTTAAACCAACCGCCTGCTTGTCGGGTTTACTGTGATTCTTTCCTGACGTCATCTCTTTCATGTGTGAGGTCACAGCCCTCGTTGCTTTCGTCAGCATTTTCAAAACACCCTTCCCAGTTTCTTGGTTTTCCGATGCTCGTTCGAGCCCTTGCATGTATTTTGCTCCAGTGTTACATGCCTCTAATGTGTGCTGCTTCGTTCTGTTATCGCCTGAAATGTAGAAAAACTAGAGTGTCAAGTTCCTATACCACATGCAACGCGAGATAGCAACTATCTATGAGGGCGATAACCGCAATGCTTCTTTTGTATAAGAACTCAGCATAGACATCCGTATACTTGGCCCCTGCTTAGTAGGACTACCTAACTGCATAAATATACACCAGAATCAGACCACGTACTCACTGTCACTGCTAGCCTAGACTCTGATGACAAACTAAGCCTACCAGGATAACGCTCTGTGCACGTATCTGCAAAGCCGAGTATCTAACAGGTGCGTGTATCAGCGAGTAGTAATCAAGATGGACTACGACCACGAACAAAAGCCCATTCAGGCCGTGGACAGCGCTCAGACAGAGCCTCGGCCTAATATGCCGTAATCCAGTGAGGACGACGAAGGTGGTGTGTTCAGAAATGGGATTTGACACACGCAATCTTGTGTAATCGCTGTGTAATAAACCTGTATTACTCTCCGTAATCCACAGAGCCTCGTTTCTTCTTCTCGCACTCGATTCCCTCTCCTTCCGGTCATAACACAGCCACAGCGCCCGCGGAGACCGTTTATTATTTTGACTGCTAAGTTCAACAGCTTACCAAGATTATCAGGAATTTGTTCATAAGTTACAGGAAATAATTGGACGCTGCTAAGGCTATGGATGCTGGCGCGTGGGATGATACACCACCAGTATAAGCATCTTATGCTTTTCTTTTCAGATACGATACATGCGAGTGCAGTTCATCAAAATTGTGGTTAGAAAATAAAAGAGAAAGGAACTGCGTTGTGATTACTTTAGGTGCATTTGAAAGATGATCTCAGTAGAAACCTATCTCTGATATCTGACAGGACTCGGTGGAAAGAATTTCTAACATAGAGATTTTCCGTTTCATTTGCTCACTGAAGTCTTCGCATTTTGCCTTGGGCGTTTTATCAGTTTATCCCGATCCCTTTTCTTTTTTTCTGTAAAATCATTCAAGATTTGTACCTCACAAAATTATTTTTAATGCAGCAGTGAGCCAAGACCTTTGATTTTTCTAACTTGAATACGTGTTTATTATCTTAGGATAGTCAGACGACCTTTCTAACCCATGGTACGCAAGTTTTGTCGTCTGCTTGAACGAAATCCCGTCGCAAATCGGGGGCGGATCCAGAGATATTTTCTGACATTCTTCCTAATTATCTCTGTTATCCATCCTCATTTTTGACCGTCTTCCGACAGAAAAAAATTAGATACCCGTCCATGTAAACTTGAAAATCTGACCGTCTTCCGGAAGACCCAGAAGACGGCCTAAATCCGCTTCTGCAAATTTATGGTTAGCGTCTAACAAATTTTAACAAATTCACATTAACACAATGAGACGGCCTGTAAAAATCATGATTTAAGGAGTGAGAACGTTACCTGTACCCACCTGTACGCGGCTCAGCGCGAGCATGGAAAATGAAACAATAATGACCGCAGGTAAGGTGTCTAGCTCAATGAGGGCATAAGAAAAGCTATGAAAACTTGCCGCCGTGTTAGGATAAGGATCGATATTCCAAGCCGTCCAGGCACGACGCGAACAGCAACAGAGACTGGCAGAAGTGGACTGGGTGCAGCTCCCTTACCTGCTGGACATTAAAAAGCTGGAGCTGGTTTTATTCTGAACTAACCACAGTGTCTGACATCATCCCTCAGATGTCAAGTCTCGGATAATAAATGTCCCTCCAACATTATGGATATCAATGCCCATGGCGTTTTCTTTAACAAAGCGAGGGGAGTCACAATGACAGAGAGAGGGTGAGAGGTGTTACGCTGTCAAGGCTGGGGTGACTTTTCACGGTGATCTACAGTGCGCCTTGTCACGAGAAACTATAAGGTGCACCCTTGCGCAGCCAGTCGTAACTGAGATTTCAAACCCTCGATGCGCTGTCAGCCAACCCAGTGCTAATGTAATACAGATGACTCGGCTTAATTAACCACCGGAGCATAGGCTGCACAGCAATTATACTATGTGTAATATACTGCCTATGAATACAGACATGTTCTAGTTTGGCCAATTACACCTTACAAACAGGTGATTTAGTGTTTAGCCCCCCTTTCCCCTCCCCTGAGGATGAGCTAAAGGATGTGGTGATGGCGCAAGGCAGGGTTACTATCAGGGCCCATCTGTACTACACTCACTGGGATTTCACTTGTTATCAGCTCTAATATTACCATATTCTCTTACTCATTCACTCTCACCATACTGACCATCCACACCTGAATCCCGCTATTGTCTGTCATTGTAGTTAATGAGGTCATTAATTCGTATGAAGTTCTGACCTTTTATATTATACTTGATAGGCCGATTTCTATCTAATTATCTAATAATTGTAATGTTTTATTAATCAAAGTTACACGAAGTTTGACTGTGTAATTACAAAGAGGAAAGATATTATAACTACAGGTGCTTTATGGCTGTAAAGAGCCTCTGGCTTATCACATATCATTTAAAACGGCTTAATATCCAGCCATCCACGTCTTGGCTTAATGTTTTACCACAGTACTGTGCAAGTCAACCGCCGTGCCCATTATCTCTATAAAGTGTGTCGTCAACCTCGTATAGCGCCAACAGTGTACCTTGTCCACCTCGTCCGTTACGGTGACAAGGGGCAGAAATGACAGTCACACTCCACTTTTCTAAGGTCCTCTTTCAATGATCAATCCACTTATCAACTTTCACAAACTATGAATCAGTATTTTCACTAAAAAAATGTCAAAGGCTTACCACCGTTTCTCTTGTTACCGTCGCTCATTCAGTTATGGACTGCGCTCTAGTTCCCTTACAACGTGACTGGGTTATATTTCCGTATACTCTCAGCTGATATGTATGTAAATGATGACGTTTACTATTTACCTTTGGGTCACGTGTTCGGCTCGGCTACTCATACAGGTAAATGGGTCGATTCTGTCTTTTGTGAGGGAGTACTATTCATCTACTATTCAAAGTGGAGAATGCAATAAAGGCTTTCCGCAATGAACAGAGTTTTCAGAGAAAACAAAGGCATAGAAAAACGCGTGTTCTTAGAGCACCCGTCAAAGCCTTGTCATTACTAGTTTAATCTTTTAAATATACGACTTTGTTTGCAAAATGAAATTGCTGCACTTGAACGGCCGTATTGATCCTATGACCCGAAGTGTTTACCAATCCAATTCCGGTCGATTCCATATAAGGTTTTGTTCAACCTTGTGGGCGTTTACCTTATAAATATGCATATGGTGGTTTCTTAAAGTTATTTTTCTTTTGAGATTATTCACTGGGATTTTTGTGTGTGTGTGTACGGATCCAAAGGGAAACTAATATTTTGTTGTGTCATAGTTTTTTCTCGTGACTGTTAAAAACCTATAACAAAGTTAAGATTAATAAAAACAAAACATCTTTGTCTAAAGACAAACTAAAAGTAATTAATAGAGAAAGAAACATTGTAATGCGGTTGAAGAACACAGTAGATTACTGAAAACATAGCAAGAAATAAACCCAAAAGACTCATTTTACTTCCTTGATAATATACCAATGTTGTTACGCACGCTTAGCCTTTTTGTTTCGCTGTTTTCAAATGCCTTCACACGAGATTCCTTACTTTTGAAGACTCGCCGTTTCGTGTTATGGGCTTTAACAAAGACACCAAAGAAAAAAAAGAGTTACTATATTCTGTCTTTATACATGAGGTATGATTGGGCTAATACACCAATATTTTTCGATCAAAAATGCTTTCAAAGTACACAAAATATCAACCCATTTTTAAATCGCATTGGAAGAAATAACTTAATTAATTAATATTCATTCTCTCCAGACCTTCACTTACATTAGAACAATTTAAATCAAATATTTATTATTTATTATTATTTATTTGTTCATCTTGTTGATCTTTGAACATATAAAAGAAAATAACGCCTAGCCATTCTAGTTTTCCAATTGGCAAAAATGAAACAACCCAAAATGAGGAAAAATACAGACCCCATTAATTTAGCCATTCATTTCCCCACATATCTCAGGTACTCAAAGATAGTTCCGTAACAGACATTTCCTCACTTTCCATCTGATTTATTTACATACATTGGTTGATGTACTTGCTTGTTTATTTAACAAAGGAGTTATAACTCCTTGATTTAACACTAAGTTTTTTCCGATGTCATGAAATCGGCAGATTCATAGCGGAAATATCTTGAGGAAATAACGTCTCATGACCGATGAGTAAACCTGTATCATTGCGAAGTTGGTTTTCGTCCGCTTTAAATAAACTGATTTTCAGTTTCGAGGGATTGCAGCTTTTTTCTGCAACCCGATCTAAGCGACACAGTATCTTTATCTCAAGTATAATCTAAAAGTATCTCTTGATAGAGTAGTAAACGATCATCTTCTCCTTTTGACATAAATATGATGAAACGGAATGGGAAAGTGAAACCACTTATGATTTTTTCTGTCCTAAGAAATAAATAGCCAATGAAATGAGTCTTAATTGGTTTCCTTGTTTTCAGATAATAGCTGTAAACTTATTTCCGGAATATAATTACATAACTATTCTGGAGTAATTTTTTCTATTTCAAGTTTTAAACTAAAAGACAAAACAGGTAAATTACTTGTTTCAAAATGCAAGATTGTTGCTTATAAATAATATGTAACTTTGTCATACTTTTGAAACCATTTTCAATTTTATTAGTTGTAAGACATGTTTTTGACTGATGCTATGTACTTTTTTGTACAGTGAGATTTTATGTAAGAATTGAATTGATGGCAACATTCAGCTGGGGTCTGATTGGGAATTATAACTTACGATACCGAGAGCAAATTGTGCCAGCAATACTCAATTGTGATGACGGCGCACCTAACACATTCTGAAAATACAGACCGCGTAACGCCAGAGGTCTTTAGGGTCTCCTATTTATTTTGACAAATAATGTCCATTCATTTTAACAAAACATTAATTTCTATTCAAAACATTAATATCATTAGTTAATAATATGTATCACATCTTTAAGAACACTTAAGTCAATTTTGTCCCCACAACAATTGTTTCAACAACGTAATTTATAAAATCAATTCTTTAGTGAAGAGCCATGTATAAGTCGAGACTGATAAATGTTCTTCACCGTACACACGCACATACAAAGTATCACTTAGTTCTTAGACCTTATGAACATATATGTTCTTTGACACAAAAAATATAAAAATTCCGTTTATTCTCAATGCAGCAATCAATTATCTTATCAATGTTTGCAAATACAGAGAGCTTGAGGACCATATCTTTATTTTTTCTGCAAAGTCATCAAAAAAAAAAATAAATAAATAAAAAAAAATAAAAAAATAAAAATAAAAAGAGTCATATCAAACAGTATAAATGTAGAAAAAGCATCTTAGATTTAATTCTAAAAGTTTAGGATGAATGTCCAGCTGGATTAGACTGTTCAAAATGTGGATTCACACACTTGCTTGATGACACCAGCGACATTTTGTATTTCTTCTTCTGTCAGTTCTACACTAACAGCTACACGAATACTGGAAAGAAGAAAAATGAAGGTAAATCAACTGACATTATCCAAACAAATGAAATGACTTTGTAAAATAAAAAGTAAAATCAAGAACAAAACTGGCAGTACCAGAGCTAACTGTTAAAGATATCAGCCTTACCTTTGGGGTACCAGAGCTAACTGTTAAAGATATCACCCTTACCTTTGTGGTACCAGAGCTAACTGTTAAAGATATCACCCTTACCTTGGTGGTACCAGAGCTAACTCTTCAGACTCCAGATATCTGGCCAGAGTAAGAGCTACACCACTTGCATAGGCCTGGAAAATCAAGTTATACATTTTTAGAATCTATTATCAAGAGGGGTAAGCTAGACTACATAAGTAACATAAAAATTGAGGATAAGTCCTATACCAATTATGATAATCTGACATAGGAAAATATTTTTGTTGCCATCGAACTTTCCAAATTTTTGCAACTATTGGAATATTAAGATTAAAATAACCCATTACTAGTCAACCATTTCTTTGTCTTACCCCATCCACAATCTGTTGAAGTCTCCTGGCGTCTTCCATCCTGTTGTCTGAAGGTCTGGCCAGCTGAAGGTGATGTATGGGAGACACAGGNCATATTTATGGTTAGCGTCTAACAAATTTTAACAAATTCACATTAACACAATGAGACGGCCTGTAAAAATCATGATTTAAGGAGTGAGAACGTTACCTGTACCTACCTGTACGCGGCTCAGTGCGAGCATGGAAAATGAAACAACAATGACCGCAGGTAAGGTGTCTAGCTCAATGAGGGCATAAGAAAAGCTATGAAAACTTTCCGCCGTGTTAGGATTAGGATCGATATTCCAAGCCGTCCAGGCACGACGCGGACAGCAACAGAGACTGGTAGAGGTGGACTGGGTGCAGCTCTCGTATCTACTGGACATTAAAACGCTGGAGCTGGTTTTATTCTAAACTATAACCACAGTGTCTGACATCATCCCTCAGATGTCAAGTCTCGGATAATAAATGTCCCTCCAACATTATGGATATCAATGCCCATGGCGTTTTCTTTAACAAAGCGAGGGGAGTCACAATGACAGAGAGAGGGTGAGAGGTGTTACGCTGTCAAGGCTGGGGTGACTTTTCACGGTGATCTACAGTGCGCCTTGTCACGAGAAACTATAAGGTGCACCCTTGCGCAGCCAGTCGTAACTGAGATTTCAAACCCTCGATGCGCTGTCAGCCAACCCAGTGCTAATGTAATACAGATGACTCGGCTTAATTAACCACCGGAGCATAGGCTGCACAGCAATTATACTACGTGTAATACACTGCCTATGAATACAGACATGTTCTAGTTTGGCCAATTACACCTTACAAACAGGTGATTTAGTGTTTAGCCCCCCTTTCCCCTCCCCTGAGGATGAGCTAAAGGATGTGGTGATGGCGCAAGGCAGGGTTACTATCAGGGCCCATCTGTACTACACTCACTGGGATTTCACTTGTTATCAGCTCTAATATTACCATATTCTCTTACTCATTCACTCTCACCATACTGACCATCCACACCTGAATCCCGCAATTGTCTGTCATTGTAGTTAATGAGGTTGTTAATTTAAATGAAGTTCTGGCCTTTTATATTATACTTAATAGGCCGATTTCTATCTAATTATCAATAATTGTAATGTTTTGTTAATCAAAGTTACACGAGATTTGACTGTGTAATTACAAAGAGAAAAGATATTATAACTACAGGTGCTTTATGGCTATAATGGGCTTCTGGCTTATCACATATCATTCAAAACGGCTTAATATTCAGCCATCCACGTCTTGGCTTAATGTTTTACCACAGTACTGTGCAAGTCAACCGCCGTGCCCATTATCTCTATAAAGTGTGTCGTCAACCTCGTATAGCGCCAACAGTGTACCTTGTCCACCTCGTCCGTTACGGTGACAAGGGACAGAAATGACAGTCACAGGCCACTTTTCTAAGGCCCTCTTTCAATGATCAATCCACTTATCAACTTTCACAAACTATAAATCAGTATTTTCACAAAAAATGTCAAAGGCTTACCACCGTTTCTCCTGTTACCGTCGCTCATTCAGTTATGGACTGCGCTCTAGTTCCCTTACAACGTGACTGGGTTATATTTCCGTATACTCTCAGCTGATATGTATGTAAATGATGACGTTTACTATTTACCTTTGGGTCACGTGTTCGGCTCGGCTACTCATACAGGTAAATGGGTCGATTCTGTCTTTTGTGAGGGAGTACTATTCATCTACTATTCAAAGTGGAGAATGCAATAAAGGCTTTCCGCAATGAACAGAGTTTTCAGAGAAAACAAAGGCATAGAAAAACGCGTGTTCTTAGAGCACCCGTCAAAGCCTTGTCATTACTAGTTTAATCTTTTAAATATACGACTTTGTTTCCAAATGAAATTGCTGCACTTGAACGGCCGTATTGATCCTATGACCCGAAGTGTTTACCAATCCAATTCCGGTCGATTCCATATAAGGTTTTGTTCAACCTTGTGGGCGTTTACCTTATAAATATGCATATGGTGGTTTCTTAAAGTTATTTTTCTTTTGAGATTATTCACTGGGATTTTTTTGTGTGTGTGTACGGATCCAAAGGGAAACTAATATTTTGTTGTGTCATAGTTTTTTCTCGTGACTGTTAAAAACCTATAACAAAGTTAAGATTAATAAAAACAAAACATCTTTGTCTAAAGACAAACTAAAAGTAATTAATAGAGGAAGAAACATTGTAATGCGGTTGAAGAACACAGTAGATTACTGAAAACATAGCAAGAAATAAACCCAAAAGACTAATTTTACTTCCTTGATAATATACCAATGTTGCTACGCACGCTTAGCCTTTTTGTTTCGCTGTTTTCATATGCCTTCACACGAGATTCCTTACTTTTGAAGACTCGCCGTTTTGTGTTATGGGCTTTAGCAATGACACACGCACACACACACACACACAAACAATTAACCATGTTCTGTCTTTATACATAGGGTATGATTGGGCTAATATACCAATATTTTTCGATCAAAAATGCTCTCGCAGTACACAAAATATGAACTCATTTCTAAATCGCATCGGAAGAAATAACTTAATTAACTAATATTCATTCTCTCCAGACCTTCACTTACATTAGAAAAATTTAGATAAAATATTTATTTGTTCACTTAAAATAATCTTTTAAGATATAAAAGAAAATAACGCCTAGCCATTCTAGTCTTCCAATTGGCAAAAATGAAACAACCCAAGATAGGAAAAATACAGACCCCATTAATTTAGCCATTCATTTTCCCACATCTCATGTACTCAAAGATAGTTCTGTAACAGATATTTCGTCACTTTCCATGTAATTTATTTACATATGTTGGTTGATGTATTTGCTTGTTAATTTAACAGTTTTTTTCAGTCATGAAATCGCCAGATTCTCAGCGGAAATATCTTGAGGAAATAACGTCTCATGACCGATGAGTAAACCTGTATCATTGCGAAGTTGGTTTTCGTCCGCTTAAAATAAACTTATTTTCAGTTTCGAGGGATTGTAATTTTTTTCTTTAACCCAAACTAAGCGACACGGTGATTTTTATCTCAAATACATTCTTATAAGTATCTCTTGATAGATTGGTGCACGATTATCTTCTCCTTGTGACCCGAATATGATGAAACGGAATGGGAAAGTGAAACCAAGTTTTTTTTCTCTTCCAAAAAATAAATAGCCAATGAAATGGGTCGTAAATGGATTTTCTTGTTTTCAGACAATAGCTGCAAACTTATTTCCGTCATATCAAGTTATTACATATTGGAGTAATTTTTGTTTTTTATTTCATTTTTACAAATAAAAAACAAAGCAGGTAAATTTCTTGTCTTAAAATGCAGGATTGTTGCTTATAAGTAATCTGTAACTTTGTCATACTTTTAAAACCATTTTCAATTTTATTTGTTGTACAGAAAAATAAAATAGTAATTCGAGACCACGGATGGAGTGTTGGAGGGGGTCTGAACGAGAGAGATCTAAAAAAAAAAGTGAGATACTGCCCTTGTAACTAATTACTATCTACCAGGGCCACATAGCGACTTTTCACAGATGTTTTTTACACTTTACACTTTTTTGCACTGTGAGATTTTATGTATATATATTGATGTCAACATTCAGCTGGGGTCTGATTGGCAGTTAGAACTTATGGTACGGAGAACAAATTGTGCCAGCAGTTCTCAATCGTGATTGTGGCACACCTAACACATTCTGTGAATGTGGACGGCTTTAACGATGGAGGTCTCCATATCTATTCACTTTGATGAAACACTAATTGATAATTTGTATCACATCTTTAAGTACACTAAGGGCAATTTTGTTTCCTCAACAATTGTTTTAACACGCAATTTTTAAAACCAATTATGTTAAGTGAAGAGCCATGGACAACTCAAGACTGATAAACATTCTTCACCAAACATACAAAATGTATAACTTAGTTCTTAGACTTTATTAACATGAGTATGTATTCTCTAACACACAAAATGTTATAAAAATTCCGTTTATTCTCAATGCGGCAATCAATTATCTTATAAATGTTTCAAATGATGCAAAGTAATCACAAAGAAGCAGAGTCATATCAAACTGTATAAATGTAGAAAAAAATCTTAGATTTAATTCTAAAATTTTAGGATGAATGTCCAGATGGATTAGACTGTTCAAAATGTGGATTCACACACTTGCTTGATGACACGGGCAACATTTTGTATTTCTTCTTCTGTCAGTTCTACACTGACAGCTACACGAATACTGGAAAGAAGAAAAATGAAGGTTACTTTACCAACTTTATCCAAACAAATGACATGACTTTGTAAAATACAAAATATAATTCAAAACAAAGTTGGTGGTACCAGAGCTAACTGTTAAAGATATCACTCTTACCTTGGTGGTACCAGAGCTAAAGACATCACCCTTACCTTGGTGGTACCAGAGCTAACTGTTAAAGATATAACTCTTACCTTGGTGGTACCAGAGCTAACTGTTAAAGATATAACTCTTACCTTGGTGGTACCAGAGCTAACAGTTAAAGATATCACTCTTACCTTAATTGGTGGTACCAGAGCTAAATGTTAAAGATACACTCTTACCTTGGTGGTACCAGTGCTAACTGTTAAAGATACACTCTTACCTTGGTGGTGCCAGAGCTAACAATTAAAGATATCACTCTTACCTTGGTGGTGCCAGAGCTAACAATTAAAGATATCACTCTTACCTTGGTGGTACCAGAGCTAACTGTTAAAGAT